CACTCCTTTAGCTGAAATTTGGCAATCTAATTCTTTCCCTGACGAGATGCTTTAAATATCCTTTACCTAGTCAACAAAATTTGATTAAAATCAGCATGGGTGTTTCTTTCCCCAAACTGCTTGCTCTCCTTCTTAATTAAGAGAGTCCAAAAATAGCCTGTTTGGGTACTTTCCGTGCATTCCTCTGTCTTAGGAAAGCAGCGCTCAGTATAAAAGTGAAACGTCAAACTGTCCACAGTATGGACAGAGGTTATATAATTCAGTTGTCGGACTGTAAAGCCATACCTTACTATGTGAAGATGCAAAAGTAAAATGAAAGCCAGGAATAACATATTAGTGAGAAGTTGTTCTGCTCAATAGTAGAACCACAGGACATTATGCAGTGTTAAAGTCTTATGTATTGAAAGCTTTAGGATGTAACTTTGACAGGCTTTAATGAGTAGAGATGACGGAGCCTGGGGACTTCTGGAACTCGATCTAACAGGATACCTCTCAGGATTAGCAGGACACTTGCAAACTGTGAGGACCAAATACCAGAAGTAACACACAAACACACATAGGTGAATCTTGTTTTCTTACTACGCAAACTCTACAGGAGGATGATCACATTTTGAGGGGCATAGGCAAAAATTCAGGAATGAGATTCTTTGCCCTTCCTAATAATTTTAACCAGAAATGGTTAAAGACTTTGTTTATACCTCAGTTTTCCACCTGTAAAAGCTGGCTTCTGTTATGTGTGTCTCTACTGGGGGCCTTCTGGTGCTCCCACAGTAAGAGTATATTGGTATAGGTATGCATTCATACGTCTACTCTTTTTACATGCCACCATGTACAAAGGCTAAACATGAAATCTATCTAAGACACTTTCATTTTTACACACCCAGGAGGGCCACCTGCAATGCTGATACTAACCTTCAGGCTCTTGCAGATACCCTCTGTAGATTGTGAGTTGGGAATTTGGCTTCTTAGAAAAGTATGCAAATAAATGCAAGTTCTGTTTAGATTTAAAGAACGTATTATCTCCTCCTTAGTTGCAAATCTTTCTACAAATGCCAAAATTGTTGATTATTTTAGTGTTTATAAACACGATCTTGTGTGGTGGTGGCCATCTCATGGCACTGACTGTCCTTGTCTCCTGACAGGTTTGCTAGGCTGCTTCCAAGCTCTCTTCTCCTCAGTAGGTTGAGCCCAAGACAAGTTGAGGTCCCAGATACTTCCTATGTACTCTTATTGTGCAAATTGCATTTATGGTTACAGTGGTACTTATCTGTTGGTAGGGCCTTAGCATAAGGAAGAGCTCATGCAGCACCTAAGTCAGTGCGCACTGTCAGCCTGTGTGTGTGAAACCGTACTATCTTCCATGGTGCCGTGATGTCAAAGAAAAGTTGAGGGGGTAGCCCCATTTGCTGGAGTTAAGGAGATTTTATATAGACTGGAGGATGTGTAGAGCTGGGTCTGGGTTCGTATGTAGAAGCAACTGGAAAAGATTAATTGTTGCTGGTCTCATAAATCATTGTCATTGGAGCTGGGAGCGCTGATTACCTTAGCCTCACCCAAGTGCGAGATATGTAAGAAAAAAAAAAAAAGCTGGCTGCCTATGTGGCAGCGGGGTGAAGGACGAGCACAGATACTGTCAGGTGGCCAGTTTGCAGCTTCACTGATGTGGATTCTCCTCTGCCCTTCCCTAGTTACTCTCTGCTAACGCAGTCTGTATTACGTGGTGTCGACTGCACCTCCCTTACCGCCGTATAGCGACTGCCGTTTGCTCGGGTGGTTAGGGTCTGTGCCCTTACGTGATGGGTAGGTGTTGGGATATCATAGGGAGTCTGGCGAGCGTGCCACAATGTGAAGTAAGTGAGTTTCAAGGTTTTTGATGAAACTTAGTTTTCAGCCATGAGGAAGCTGTGACATTTTTTTCTCTCCCATCCATGGAAAGATGAAAAATGGCTGTACCTAAGTTTGTTGAAAATGAAGCAGTGGAGCGTTAGGATTGCTGGATTATTCTGCAGTGGAAAAGAAGCTGTTGGAGATATACCCTAAAAAAACCCCAGCCAACCAACATATAATGAAGCTATTACAATAATGATACATACAATCACAGTTGCTTGAGCTCTGCGGTTTACAATGCATTGTGTTCTTACTGTGTATTGACTGCGTGCACCTTCCAGTGGCATTTCATGGAAATATACAGTACTGTGTTTCAGCTGCACTTCAGTAACATTGCGACTTCAACACGTCCAATGACACAAAAAAGCTTGAAGATGGTTGAGCTTAAACGAGGCCCATTTTAGTGTAGTGTTCTTACTTTCTAAACACCTGCCAAGAATTTTACTTGATTTCATTAGCAACAAGGGAAAAGATTATTAATGTTATTTTCAAGGATTCTTTTGTTTAAGAGGCTTATTGAAGAACACATAGGTGATGTTACATAAATCAGAAAAAGCAATAGATTTTTGAGTCTTAAGACTGCCACTGTGTCCTTAGCTCATCCTGCTGTACTCGGGTATTGAAAAGGACTCAGAAGAGGTGTAATATGACATCCAACACTACAAGATTTATGCCTCTCTACCTGGAGAATAGAGTATGGGATAATAGCTAACAGTCTGATTTTCAGAGGTGCTCAGCACCAACAACCTCACCTGAAATGAAAATGGAAGTGGCAGCTGCTCAGCACAGCTAAAAATGGGGCCATGAACATCAGCCCTAAAACTGCATTCCGTCGTGTTTACAGTTCAGTGTCAGCATCTCAAAATTTCCTCTAAACAACATCTTTTTAGTTGTATTATTTCTGTTACGGTGGGGCAAGAAAAAATATCATTAAGGGTGCTCTTTATTTATCATTTGAGCCTGCTGTCTCCCTCAGCTTCTGTCCACCAGTGAACTGTTTTGGAAATGTGAGGGCAATCTGTTTAGACAGTTTGAAAGTAGGCGAGAAGTGGAGTGGGAGAAGAATTTTCCTAGTTTCTCCTGTTGTTGCTATATATTTTTTTTTTTAAAGCATCATTATGTTAAAAGCAAACAGCTGAAGAATAGCAGAATTCAAGTCCTAATTCGTAGTGGGTAGACAACTGTATTCACTCGGGCCCGTCAATGAAACAGCATAGATTTATTCCATTTGAAGATCCAGTCCTTGGTGCACAGTTCTCTGTGCTGAGAGTCTAGTGACAAACCTGAGATGACCCAGACTTTTTCTTGCTTACTTACAACCAGCAGAATCTGAAGGTAGGATTGAATTCAGCCCTTCTGTACCTTCTCTGCAGCTGTGCTGAAAGGCCGCTGTGTGTGGCTGCGACCAAGGAGCACTGCCTGGTCATTTGCTCTGTTCTTGGTGAGGACCAAAGGTCCAGAGCTGACCCTGGCAGTTGGAATTGGGCAACTAGAATTATCCCGAGGTGTCAGGTTAACAATGGTAATGCTGAAAGAAGCGTGAGAACTTAGGAAGAAACCAAAATTATATGAAAACAGTTACATATAGCTGTATACATAAACGCATGTATATATGTATATCTTCTGGTTGTCTTGTTGTTCAGTGTTCATCTCCCATTCCTGTTGCTGTATAACAGAAGTAGGTGGGAGTTGGAGCTAGGAGACTGTGTGAGAATGTTGTGGAGGAGCAAATGCAAGATTTGGGATAGGTGTCAATGCAGGGAGGAAAGCAGGCTCTCTAAATTAGATTTGTGAGGGTAACACAGTGGCTAATGCAAACACTGAAATGAAGACAGGAGAATAAACCTTTCATCATTTCTGTGTTAGCACATCAAGTCATGACACAGAGGGAAGGTATTTTCAGCAATTTTAGGAACATCTAAAAGTTTTCCTCCTTTCTCCCGGCTCATGATTTAGAGAGGATTGGCTTTTTTGTGTAAAGGGATATAAGTGATACAGTATTAATAAAACCTTATAAACTTGATAAAAACCCTTCACAATAGTTTTCCGTGTAATGTTGGATGTACGATGATGTGATATTCAAAAGTTTTACTGGGACTTGTTTAGCTTGCCCTCTGCAATTCATTCCTGGCTCTTTCCACAGTGGTAATGCCAAATTTAAGCCAAGAAAATGACTGCACTTATCTGTAAGATGTATACACGCTATCGTTGCTTAAAAACTAAATTACCTTATATAACTAATAATTTCACTTCAGCATTTTCAATGCTATGAAGGCACATCCTATGTCAGGGAATATGGTAAATGTTGAGGCAAGATTTTTCCATTACCTAAGTCAAATCTTGAAAGGTTTCATGTGCAGCCAGTGTGTGGGTGTATGTGTGTTTGTTTATTTGAGTATGTATCTGCCTACATAATCCCTCATCTTCTAGTCTACATATTTCCCTTGTCAAAAATAAAATCATATTAAATGCTGTTAAATAGTAATACTTTAAACTTGCTATTATGTAGTGTCTTTCGTCCAAGCTTCTCACACTGCTTTAGTTATTAATTAATGCTTGATAATCCTGGTATAACACAGAAAATACTATCCCCATTAATAGCGGTTAAACAGAATCACAGGGTAATTAAATACTTGTCTACAGTGGCATTGTCATTCCTCTTTCAAAGCTGTGTTTATTCTGAGTTCACTGTCTTCCTGTAAAATCTCAGCAGACGTGAAGCACGTAGTTTTTATCTCAATATATCTGCTCGAGGTCAGTCCTGGAAGCGGTTGCATGTGGATGTGCGGGTGACTGTAACTTGCCATGTTTAGATTAGTAACTATCTGTGCTTTTTCCATCATTCTTTTTAATTTTGATTATTTGAGATTCCTCTCCTGAGTTAAAAAGATTGACTGCAAGTTGCACTTTTTTTGAAGTGAGGACATAACCAGTTAAGTCAGTCAGAAATTGAATCCGTAATTCTTACACTCTCATTCTCATACTGCTTCTAAATACTCCACCGTCCTTTTGCAGGGTGGGTACATAATAGAGAACTGAACCAACCCCTCTCCCCTGAGTTCTGAAATGTCTAAAAGCTATCAAGATAGTACCTGACTTCTTTTCTTTTTCAGCTTAACCCACACTACCCAGACGGTAATCATGAAGGAAAAACTTCGGTAAGTGGAATTTATATGTTGCATATAATCTGGGAAATACTGTATCCTTAACCCAATTCGGCCCAACATATGAAAGTCCTTCATAGCTTTCCTTTTACTTACGTGTCACAGCCGCTGGGATTGTTTTCCGTATCCTGTGTAAGCTAGGGTGCAGCTCGGAAATGGCATTACAGAAAGTTTTCCCTTGCATAAGGCAAATGATAGGAAACATTCAGATTCTGCATCAAATTGGCATTGGTTGGAAGCTGTCCAGCTTGGTGACTGCAGTTACAAAATCTATTAATTCTCAAATCAGATGTATTACTTCATGGCAAAACCCACCACCCTCTTGAGCAAGAAAACCAGGGACAAGCAAATCTGGTTAGTTATGTGCCAGTACCAATTTGGAGGCTCTGCTAGTGGAGCCAAGCCCCCTTGGGGCATGTTTGTCAATCAAGTGTGGCTCTATATCTAAGAACATGCTGAGACTCTTTTTACTGCCTGTATTGAATACATGCAAGCAGATATTCAGGCGCAGGCTTAGGCTGAGACCTGCCACACTTCAGGCATCTCTAGCATGGCATCTTCCCAAGGATCCAAGTTGTCCTTGTTGCAGAGTGGATGGGTTGGACTTACTGGCCTTATGCCCTTTGCCTAGGAGGCAACAGCCTTTGCCTTGTACAATGTCAAGAGCATCCTAGCTAATTCTAACTAACGAGGTGAGGCCAGAGATGTTGTAGTTTATAATGTGTGAAGGAAGTGGAGTTAAAACCCTGGGGGAATCTTGTTGTTACAGAGACAACAAATAGTCCAAAGAAGAATCATTCTTCCATCAAATTCATGAGATTGCCTTGAAAACGCTGAGATCTTCTTTGAAAAAATTCAGTTTAATTTCTTTCTGTTTGCCTTCTGGCTTTTGTTCTTTTAGAGGACACATTTTCAAGTTTTTCTCTGCATGGGGAAGAATTTTTTATTTTTTGTGAAATGAAACCCAAGATTCTTACATAATCACATGCCTTCAGGACTGCAATTTTAATAAAGATGGAGACTTTTGTAGGAGTTGGCAACATCGGTTTTTCGTCTTTCCTGGTATTTGGTATTAATGGTAATATAGCAATAACAGCTAAGCTGTCCAGAGAAATGAGAATTGTCTCTCATGAAAATATGGAAGTTCTACCACTTGTTTCTCTTTTGTATTGCAATAACACTTGAAGCCCTTGGATCTTTTGAATGGTGATCAAGATAAGTTCTGGAGTGTACCCCACTGAGTAGTAGGGTGCTTGCTTAGAAATCTTGGGTTCATTTTCTTGCTCTGTGAACAGCAGAGCTCGTCTCGTAGATGTGCATCTGCAGTAACATTGTAATTCACATCATGACAGCACTTCCGAATCAAATCTCCTGATTATTCCTTATTTAAGACTCTGCAACATACTTTGCAGAGCAATCTCAGAGCATGTAAACTTGTATTGTGTTGGATGAAAGTAAAAAGCTACACACACCTCTGGAATGCATCTACTGTACTCCAACTTTTCATGGGTGCCCAGCCCAGAAAACAGGACTACAGCTAGTCTGAAGTAAGACCTATGGAAACATGTATAGGGGAGATGTTAGGTCCTCATCACCAAGGCTCCAATCCTATTGTACCACACTATGCTAATTTAGATGTAGTCTAGGGTTTCCAGTTGTAGCAATTCCAGTTCATCTAAATAGTTAAATTTTCCCTGGACTGGGTAGTGAAGAAGGCACAAGAGTAATCTGAACATGAGTGTTAAATGCGACTTCTCTAATGGTTTGGCTTAATCCTTCTGCCTATTTGTTTCAACGAAAAATCCAGGTCAGAATAATCAGCTTAGACAAATACTTCCAATGAAAATTTAATCAAAACTGATTGATGATCAAAACTGATGTCTCTGTGGAAATTTTAGTTTATGCAGTCAGCACTTTTTTGTGAAGAATGTTTTGTGAAAGAACTCCTAACAATGTTTGGTGACACCTCCATGTAAATCCAAGCCTACAGGCACTTTTAGCATGGTAGAAATCCATTTGGATCCTTCACCCCTTTACAGGTCTGTGGGAAGTAGCGTGAGTCAGCAATGGCTATTTTAAGCCTTCATTCTGGCCTTGAGCAACTGAGCAGAAAAGCTTCACGTCCCTGTGCAGGAATTTATTTTATGTTACAATGATGAAGTGTTTTGAATTATCCCTCAAAAGTACAAGAATCTTACAATATTTGGAGTTCTTTAAGGGCCAGCTGTGTCAGCCTTGCATCCAATATGGGCAGAACCTAGAGCACACATGCTTTCTTTGCTCTGTGGTTTTCACCTAGTGTTTCTTCTGCCAGGTGACTGCCTAACTGATGCACTACAAAGGCATCTTCTTTTTTGTCTTTTGAAGCAATTAATTTTGAAATACTGCCCGCGAAGTAAATCTGCTCTGGAGGGGGAGGTGGAAGCGGACCTACCCCAGGAAAATTCGACGTCTGAGTAGCAGGGAGATGGGAGATGCGTACTTGAGTCCTTTCAACTGAAGGAAGAAACTGAGCCTGCAGCCTGTGTTTTTCTTTTTCTTTCCTCTGCTCATTGGTTGGATAAAAGGCTACCAGCTCCTTCTCTGCCGTCTGGGTTTTAGAGGCGGCACAGCCATCTGTGCATTTTGTGCCAACCATTAACTCCTAGATGTGCGATAGGGCTCCCTGTGCCTGTTCCCTGCCTGGTTTACAAGTCCTGATCACAGTTGCTTAGGCAACTGAATTTTAGGAGGCAGCAATGGAGAAGGATTTTCCGTGGTGCGGTAGTGGGCATAGGCACCTCGGTTCTGCCTAAGTGCATCTTTTTTGCCTTGCCTTAAGTGGCTTCAAAGTCTGAAAGGGTTTTGGCTCTGGAGAACATAAATATTACTGGAAGTCCTTAGGACTTTTGTTCCCAAGCATTAAAGCTATGTTTGGACTGCAGTTCATTGCTCATTTATGGACTGCTTCTTGAGAATCCAGCCAAATTGTCTTGTGAGACACTGCTTTTATTTCTGGTAAAATTGGGCCTCACAATGTGTTGATTAATATTTTTATACGTATTTTTCTGACATCTAAACGTGAGAAGTTTGGTTTTTTTTTTAATGGGAAGACCTTTCTGTGATTTAAAGGCCTTATCAAAAAAAGGCTGCTTCATCTCTTGAAGCCTAGGAGATTGTAGTGCATCGTGCAACAAAACGCGGTGCTCTGTGTTACAGCTCCCATTAAAGCCAAAATTGGTGTTATTTTATGCTGCAAAGTAGTCAATTATTCCTAATCACAGAAATGTACAGCATCCAGAAGAATGCTATAAACATTGGGGAAATGTCAAGAACAGCTGGGAACCTGGCATTTGTTAGCATTCCATTTGTCTGCATTTTCATGAGAGAGTGCTAATCCCAACCAGTTCCAAACTGGCTTTTATTGTTCAGGGTTTTCTTAGGATTGAGACTGGTCTGCATTTGCTTTTCCTATAAAGAAGGTGGACAGTTCTACCATGGCCTTCTAGGTGCAATTTGACATACCTCCTTTGACTTCTGTTTATCTATATTTATGAAGTCCAAACAACTCTGCAATTCTTAGAACCATAGAATCATAGAATGTTTTGGGTTGGAAGGGACCCCTAGAGGTCATCTAGTCCAGCCCCCTGCAGTGAGCGGGGACACTGCTGACTAGATCAGGTTGCTCAGAGCCCCGTCCAACCCGGTCTTGAATGTTTCCGGGGCTGGAGCCTCCACCACCTCTCTGGGCAACCCGTTCCAGTGTTTTCTTTCTTGCTTCCAACTCAGGTGATTTTTTTTTTCTGATAAACGCTGTAAAGTATTATTTTTTTAATTTTACCTTCCAGCAACTAAGTTTGTTTAATTAAAATATTATAATATGGGGCACAGGTAATGCAGTTTAAATGAGTACAATAGGTCTGGGGAATTTACTGGGTTTTTAAAGGCTTGGTTAGAAATTAACCTGGCAATAAAAAAATCTGCAAAAACATTTAAAAACAACAACAAAAAAAAATCATCAGCTTTAAAATGGCAGTGCCTCTGCTTATATAAAGCCAGCAGTCAGAGCACTTGATAGGCTGGGGGGGAGAAGGGGAGACACGGATGCCGGCACTTTATTATTATTCTGCTGCTGCACACAGGTCTGAATCAGCTCTGAAAGCTCATACATTGTTTCTTACAGAATGTCTCTGGCTCCTAACAACAGAATTGCAACGTGATGTCTCTGCTAAAAACGCGATGACTCACAAATGAGTCAACAGCGAAGGTGTTACAGGAGGCTAACTGCTGTGCTGTCTGCCAGGGCTTCGTAATGTGCGGGAGCAAGGCTGGCCCTTCATTGACTCGACTTCCTTTTCATATAGAATTTTTTAAATCACCTAACCTATGGAGTTCTGCTCACATTACCGCTCCCTGAAAGTGCTGGTTTTGTAAGAGCCTCCTGAACTGGGTTATAGTGAGATACCACATTTTACTGGATTTAACAGGCATTTTCAGAACTCTGGCTGCTATTAAATTTAATTTCTGCTGAAATCTGTAGTGCAGCTTAATGTATTCTTTCAAGAGTGGGGCATTATCCTTGTCTGTCTCTGTGCCACAAGAGGTGTCTTTACCAATTGGAATTGTAGATTGGGTTTCTAAAAGAAAAGGTATTTCAGGTCTGTCATGGTTTTGTATTGCTTTTCGCAGTTGAAAGGAAGGCCCCTCCATAAGCAAAACTCCATGTAAATCTGCCGAATTTTAGGTATGACACCCACTTGAGGTGAATAATGGCGATTTGGGATAGGTCACAATTACTAGGGAATTATATTAAAAGCTGTGAAGAAGGGTTAGCTGCTGGGCTACAAGTCTCAAGAAAGACAAATCTGATTGTACCTGATTATTTTGTCTCTGATTACAATTTGGGATTTGTCTCCCGTAACATTAAGTTTGCCCTTCAAATTGCAAACACCGTATAATGTCTGTTAGGTTTGTTTTTTTTTTTTTTTTGCTAAGCTGCTTTTACATCTGTACGATGCACTGCAAATCAGCAGTGGTTGCCCAGGAGGTACGGACTTTGCTGTGAGCCTGGATCAGTATTTCCACTCCTCACCAAACTGTATGTTTTCGCTAGCTACGACTCCGTTTTTGAACTCTCAGCCTTCTCTTTCCTAGACGCATCCCTCCTGGAAGAGTGCTGGGGCTGCTGGCTGTGTGGTAGGGGTATTTTCAGTTCCCCCTCCCGGCAAAGTCCCCTTGTGCTTTACTGCTGCAGAAGGAGGCTGGTGGCTTGGGGGCGGACAGCCCCCGCTTCAGGTGGACACTTTGGTTTTGTTAGGCAGGGCGGGCCAGCTCTGCTCTTTCTGCCACCTGGTATTTGGACTGGGTCATTCCTTTGGAAGGTGTAGGTGCAACTCCTGCCAGGCAGAAGAGGAGCTGAATGTGCATTTCCTTCATCCTTGTGAGAGATGTAACCAGCGTGAGGTGATTCCACCTTCTTCCCCTTGGATATGTATCTGATTTCACTTGCCTGTCACTAGTTTGCCAGTACTTTGGGACAATCAAAACGATTGGGTTTTTTTCTCAGTGAACTTACTATTTGCTAATATTGTTTTACCCACAGTTCTTGCACTTCTCTATAGTTCTAGCATGTAATTCACCTGCTTGCTTTTTTGTTTTGGGGTTTTTTTTTTTGTTTGTTTTTTGTTTTTTTAAAGAAGTCTTGGGAGTGCTTTCCTTGGCTGTCACTGGCCACATCATCAACATCTCTGAAACTGTTTATTGCCTTCCTCTTCGTACAGCTTTAAGTTGAATTTTCTGCTCTCTACATTTGGGACCTTTTACAGTTCTTTCCCCCCCTTCTCTTCATTGAATCCAGTTTTGCTGGCTGCATCTGCTCGTGTGCCAGCTTCTTACCTGAGCAAATGTCATCTTGTTTTCATCTGCTTAGGAATGCAGTGCTGCTCCTGGGCTGATCATATTGTCTAATTAATTTGAAATAGTCTAATACTTTCACTTCTTTCCATGCCCCCATATAGACTCATCTGCTGATTCAACCTAGACTCAACTGCTCGGTTAAGTGCAGATTCTGATGACTGCTTACTAAATTTAATTAATCATAAGAAACTTTCAGTGTGTGAGTGTGTGCACGTTCTCTGTCTCTCATGCAGAGGCATGTGCATGTGCACTCAGACAGAAATCCATGTATGTTCATATGTGATGACTATTGCTCTGCATCTCACGTACTCCTTCTATGTAAGTTGTTTTCAGAGCTGTCAAGTTCAGGGTCACTTCTTGTTGCATGGTTTTTTTTTCATTGACTAGCGCTTAACACCCATAATCCAGGTTGGGTTGTGAGGTGTGTTGGAGATCCTAAAATAACATTACAAGGAGAGTTCTGATACTTGTGCTGGAGTCCAGTCTAAAACTACTGTACAGCTGTTGTGTAGGTCTGGTTTTGCTCAGCTGAGCTTTGCATTGCAGTTAGCAGTGTTACAGACGCTGTCTTGCCCTCCGTTGAAGTGGACTTTCTTGTTAGAAAACGAGGTCTTGCTCATATGCCAGGTCTGATTTGACAGGTGCCAAGCCTGGTTGGTGGGATTTAGGCCTGATGAGGCAGCTCCGTTGCTCGGTAGCATCTGTACAATTGTTGGGAAGACTGTGAGTGAGTGGAGTCAGCCCCAAGCTGCAGGGCAGACTTCTCCACAGAGCTAGTGGTTAGCATGAACTACTTGAGCACAAGAGACCTGCCTTTGACTTTGCCTCCTGTCATAGAAACCTGCACATGTGCATATATACTCATGCTGAATGACCTGTTGGTGATGATCATGATGTCATGAGGGAGTAAAAAAAAAAAAACCCAACACCTTCATAAGACAGAGTAGAATATGGTATCATAATTTGGTCTGTATTTTTCCCAGAGCCCCAAGGAAAGAAATTAATAAAGTCCTGCCTTTTTGTGTACCAGCCTTTTCAGTTTGGAAATTATAGCAGAGTGGGTAGTTTCTGGGAAACCTGAACTAGATTTGAATGTAATTTCTGGGCAATACCAAGTCTGGATGCTGTTCTAAACTATCCCGTGCCATTCACCCCTTTACAGACCTCTTGAATTTTAAACTGGTTTTCCAGTTTTCCATTTTTGTTTGGAAGTTTAGGAAGTTGATGTTTGTTTGATTTTAGACTCTTGACTCATACCTATTAAGATCTTAATAGGATTCTCTTATAGTTTCCTTGCCTTTCCAGTTTGGGTCTCATCCCAAGTTTGTAAAATGAAATGTGTGTGGAAATCACAAAAATTTGGGCTATTTTTTCAATCCTTGCATACAGGTTAAGTTTTTATGTGCAATTTTGTTTAATATTTTTGGGCGTGGGGTATGGAAAGATGTGAGGGCTGCCAGATAAGAGTTTACTCTTGTGCAAGACACAGGAGATGGTTCCCGTTTGTCTCAGCAAGCCTTCCTCTCAAAACCTAGTGACAATACTCTATCCATTAGATGAGCCTAAGAAAAATTTCTGAGAGGATTTCTTCCTGTTTTTTTTCCTACTGTCTCTATCCTTCATAGAAGTAATGGGATGGAAAGCTGGCCTTTGTTAGGCTTGATAATGAAGAAACTGATGTTTTGGAAGGATTCAAAAAGTGCCTTGAAATGAGATTATGACTAGCTATTTCTTACATAGTTGCACTCATCCTTGATTTTGTTGCTGAATGAAATGGCAATATGAATAATCAAAGCTTTGCCCTTGATTGTCCCTTACAGTTTGGCTTTAATCAAGGTACTAATGCAAACCGAGTGCAGTCTAGCCTCTTTACATTGTTTTGTACATCTTTTCCCTGGTGACGCATTATAAATCTTTATAACAGTGTTTCAGGTTTCCAGCGTTTGATTTTTCTCTTTTGGCTTTCTTCATTCCTCCTTTCCTTTTCCCCTCCACAATGTATTTTGTGTACGTGAAGGGCCCTGGGCTGCCAGTCTCTTAATTGGTTATTAGTCTTTTGTAATATGTGTAACTCAGCACCCCAGAGGAGCAGCTTTTACTTATGCCACTAATTCTGTTGGTTGCTGCCTGGTTACGGGCACAGACTCTGAATTACTCCTTCAAGCAAAGATCCATGCTGAGGGAAGGTAGGATTGGGCACCTGTGAAGACAAAGGTGTTTAGGTGACTAAAGATGAAGATGGCAGCTTAGCAGCGCTGGGTCACAAAATTCCCACGGACCTTCAGCAGATGGTGGGAGGAAGATCGCCACCTCAGATTTGCGCATCAATTTTGAGGCACCAGCGCAA